GGTCAAAACGGCAATTTTCACCTGAGATTCAGAGCCAAATTACAAGGGGGTAAAAATGACTTCAGGAAGATGGCAGCATCACAATGTTATTTTTACACAGAGACTAGTAGGTCTGTTAGTAAAATCTGTTCACTTTAGCAATCTTTGTTGCATTATGTGCCAATGGGGACCATTCAAAAATGGGAAAACAGCACTTTTCAAGTTTTTTCTCCAAAGTTTGCATGCCTGTAACTCAACAAGTATTAAAGATATCTTAATGCCCTTTTAGATATTGGGTCTTAACAAACTTTCCTTTTGGCATCTTCATTTTTAAGGCCCTATATGGTTCGGTTCCAGAGATAGAAAACAGCACTTTTCAAGTTTTTTCTCCAAAGTTTGCATGCCTGTAACTCAACAAGTATTAAAGATATCTTAATGCCCTTTTAGATATTGGGTCTTAACAAACTTTCCTTTTGGCATCTTCATTTTTAAGGCCCTGTATGGTTCGGTTCCAGAGATATTGGAATTTCAATATGGCTCCAAGAGTAAATTATTAATTTGTATATATTTTCAGTGATCAAAAACCAAAAAACATTGGACCAGTGTTATTTTACAATCACTGATATACTATTATAATTTGTATCAATATTTTGAAATAGTTTTTATTTTTAGTTAATTTTAAATAAAAAAATATATAACTTATAATAAATTTTATATCATTAATTATATCGTTTTTATTTTTTTAATTTGTCAATTTTTTAAATGTCTACATATTTTTTATTTTTATTTCAGTTTTAGTTTTACTTTATTTTAAATTACTTTCAATTTATAAATAAATTGACTTCATTCTTTATTTTACTTTTACTTCAAGTTAAACTAAACAAAAATCAGAAATAAAAGCTGAAATAAAACAAGTTTAAGTTTTTTCAGTTAGTGTTTACTTTTATTTCAAGCAACAAAAAAGTATTTCCATGCTTTTAGTTTTAGTTAACAAAAATAACTCTGCATTGGACCCCATTTACTTTCATTGTATGGCCAAAAACAAAATGGACACATTTTTCAAAATACCTATTTAGAATTTTTTTTAAAAGGCAGTTCTGAGTGAACTCTCCCTTTAAACAAAACTAAGTTTACCACTTTGCACTTTACCTTTCTGCAGGTGGATGATGTCTGGAAAGTTGGACAGCAGGCCCTGGTACAGCGACAGTTTATCCAGCATGTGAAACAGGTCGTATTTGGGCTGCTCAGCGAACATCTCCCCGATGTTCTCGTAGGTGCGGCCTGTGTGCGATATGGCGTTGTTCAGAGCATCCGAGCTGTACGGAGGGTCCAGCAGGAACGACTGGCTGATGGACTGGAAGGCGTTTCCCAGCCTCTGGAACTCCTTCCGGAAGCCTCCGAGGTGTTTGCGAACCAGTTCCGATGCGACGTGCGTCAGCTGCATCACGCTGTCGTCCATTTTTTTGGCGAACACCTTGAAGGAGTCAATGCGCTCCTCCACGTCTTGAAGGTCCTGGTGCTCGTTGGGAATCTGGAAGGTGAGCATGAAATGAGCCCCGACCAGCTCTTCCTTTTCCGCTCGCCTCTTCCCGAGCTTCCACTGTTTGTCGTCTCCGCACATGAGAAAGTGTTCGAAACCCTCGTACTGAGACAAAACAGGGTGGCTGGTCATGTGGTCCATCCATAAAATAAGCCTCCTCTTCCTTTTCTCAATAAAGTCTTCCTCGAATCGTCCCGTGGCTTGTTTCTCGGGAAGGTGCGGCACGGAAATTACCGTGAATTTGTGTAGTAGTCTGTTGTAGAGCCAGTCAAAGTGCTTGTAGCGGCGATACACCGGCCTGCCAGTGTGACTGGGGGTGACACGATACGAAATGTACGTCTTAATGCCTTTGAACTTCGTCTGTTTGGTGGGGTCTTCAATGGAACAGGTGAAGGGCTGAGGGTTCTCCTTCCACTGAGGCCCCCGGGGGCCCATTTCGATAGAGTAAGACTCTGCGATCTTGGCCATCATTGGAACGTCGCCAAGTATGAAGGCCTCCACACCTGAGCGCACAAAGTTGGAGAATCGGTTCAAGTTCCTGCCCACCATGCTGCCCTTTCTATTGCTGGACATGCTGTCCTGGCGCTCCATATGCGGCTTGGGCCGGTAGTGGACGTTGGGGTTGGAATACGGACTTTGGGAATGTCCATTGGCGCCAACACCCCTCCGAGGATCTTCATCCTCGACCACCGTCGAGGTTTCATCCCAGTCGTCCCAGTCGTCATCGTCGTCGCTCGGCAGGGTCGTGGAAGGCGTATGGATGTACGATATATCCTTACCAGGAGAGCTTCCAGGTGAGCTGAGGGAATGATCCGTCAGGTTGGACCCGGATCTGTTCCGGATGATGTGAACGTACGAGGCGGGGAACAGGCCTCGCTCTCCTCGGCTGTTCTCTCCTTGTAGCCAGCCGTCTACAGAGTTCTCGTCGAAAATCACCAGCTCCTCATTCTCCTGAATGCTGATCGCCTCCTTGTTCTCACTTTGGAAAGTGTAGAGGGCTTTGGCTCTCAAGGACATTTTTGTAACTTTGCAAGCCAGATGCGCAAAAGTGGGCCACAACAAAAGTTCCTTACCTCATATCAGACTGCACAGATCAAATCTAACAAAAACAGGGCTATTTGATAACTTAAAAGTTTGGTTATATAGTACATCAGTACTTGTTAATATATTCATAATACTTTAACAAAACTAGCAGTTTTGAGGCTGTTGGTAAATAATATTCTTTACGATAAATATCTTCAAGTCTTTTTAAAGTTACTGACCATGAAGAAGACAACAGGAATCTTTTTTCCCCCCCTGGGAAACAATCTCCAATATGCTACATTTGTAAATAAAGCATTACATGTTGGAACTCCCTGCCAGGTTGTTATTCTCCAACTTCCCTTAATTTATGCCGTTTCATTATTCCACAAAACCAGAATCTTCAGCCGCAAAAAAAACAAAAATAAACCGATAAATCCACAAATCCCGTCCAGCAGAACCGTGACACCGGCAAACACATTCAGTTCAGTGTCCCATAATAACTATATAATAGTTTTAGGCATCTTGCATGCTGTCAAAATATTTAAAAAAAAACACACACAAACATCTGTTTTGCAAGTCCGGCTGAACTAAATTCCAAATGAAAACATTATCCCAACATTTCGTCCCAGACAGGGATGGGAAATAAACGCATCTTTTGCATTCCGCCAACAAAAGGACAAAAAGTACATCTAAAGCATTTTTATAATCCACAGATCCAGTTCAGATCGCTGTGTGTTCATTGTATTCCCTTCAAGGTGTGATTCAACAGGCCCGTGAGGAGTTTTTCATAAACTATGTCTTTACTTTGAGCACAAACGCAGTAACTCTTTCCATGACGCGAGGATTGAACAATGAGAGTAGCGCAGTTTAGCGCGAGCTTTACAGTCGCGTCTGTGGCGCCGCTCGGCGGTCAAGTAAACAACTGTAGCATCTGTTGGTAAATAATATTCTTTGCGATAAATATCTTCAAGTCTTTTTAAAGTTACTGACCATGAAGAAGACAACAGGAATCTTTTTTTTCCCCCCTGGGAAACAATCCCCAATATGCTACATTTGTAAATAAAGCATTACATGTTGGAACTCCCTGCCAGGTTGTTATTCTCCAACTTCCCTTAATTTATGCCGTTTCATTATTCCACAAAACCAGAATCTTCAGCCGCAAAAAAAACAAAAATAAACCGATAAATCCACAAATCCCGTCCAGCAGAACCGTGACACCGGCAAACACATTCAGTTCAGTGTCCCATAATAACTATATAATAGTTTTAGGCATCTTGCATGCTGTCAAAATATTTAAAAAAAAACACACACAAACATCTGTTTTGCAAGTCCGGCTGAACTAAATTCCAAATGAAAACATTATCCCAACATTTCGTCCCAGACAGGGATGGGAAATAAACGCATCTTTTGCATTCCGCCAACAAAAGGACAAAAAGTACATCTAAAGCATTTTTATAATCCACAGATCCAGTTCAGATCGCTGTGTGTTCATTGTATTCCCTTCAAGGTGTGATTCAACAGGCCCGTGAGGAGTTTTTCATAAACTATGTCTTTACTTTGAGCACAAACGCAGTAACTCTTTCCATGACGCGAGGATTGAACAATGAGAGTAGCGCAGTTTAGCGCGAGCTTTACAGTCGCGTCTGTGGCGCCGCTCGGCGGTCAAGTAAACAACTGTAGCATCTGACTGACAGAGTTAAACATTGCAGTTTCTAATAAACGCAAAACGCATCCAAATTACTACAATAACTCAACTAGATAGTGTACAATGACTTATTGCCACTGAATGACAAACACTGCACTGTTCTGCCATTCAGACACATTCAAATCTCTGGCAAATCTTGTACACAAGAACGTATAAACCATTTAAATTAATATTTTAAATAATTATTAGTTTGAAATCCGACACAGGAGTCTTTTTAAAAGGATTTTCAAAATAATTCTTATTTAGTGATCACAGCTGTGATTGGTCCATCCTGATCAGCGCGGAGAAAACTAACAGATACCACGTGATGTCGCCATTGGTTTCAGTCTGAATAGATAATAACAGAACTTAACAGCAGTTAAAGTACACGGTGAAGAGTTCAAATATGACAAATATTATTTAGACTAATTATAGGCAACACCTGGACCGCTGGTCTCACTAAATATTTCATTTCCTCTTTTTTGTAACGCTTCTATTTTGCTTTAGAACTGAGGTTTTGCAAGGAGACGAACTAATGCAGCATATTTTTTTTACAGTATGTACATTTTTAACAGAATTTTAATTTGTGATTCGTCGCAGTAAATCCAACGAGCTTTAACCACCGTAAAATGATTTTGAGATGAATTCTTCACCAATCGGTGAAACTCGGCGATTAATTTTGGTCGGCCGCGACGAGGCGTGATGACGTCAGCGCGCCATTGCGTTTCAACGTGTTTCTCTGCAGAAGTAGGTGTTTGTGTTTTTCGCTGTCCTGCTTTTCCATTTCCGTTTGTGTTAGGCCTACTCTTTTAAATCATGAGTAAAGGATTTTAAGAGCAACTCTGATGGGATTGTGATCACGTGTTTGCTGTCTCTCTCTGCCTTCAGTCTGTTTATCTGTACGTGGTGTTTGTTTCGTGTTTGTCCATATGAGATTTAAATGAGTTCTGTTTGCTTTTGAAATATCTTAGTGGTCTACATACACTTAAATGCACTTATCATGGCATATAAATGATTTAAACTCCTGTATGTTGTCACAGGTCCATCATGGAGGCTCTGACCCAGGCTCTCTCCTCCAGCTTCGCTGTATCCAGAGAACCAAACAGCACTTCTGCTCCCCATCCACGCCTGGCCCAGTACAAGAGCAAATACAGCGTTCTGGAGCAGAGTGAACGGCGCAGGAGGTTCCTGGAGCTGCAGAAAGAGTGAGTTTACCTTACACAACCACATAGAACACAAGAGCAGCTGTTATCAGCCACCTTCAACACCCTCAACTTTGATGCAGTGACACTGATGGAATACATTATGTTGGCAGGAAGAGGCTAAACTACGTGAATCATGCCCGACGGCTGGCTGATGGAGACTGGACTGGAGCTGACAGCGAGGATGAAGAGAAGAAGAGTCCGCCGCAGCTGGAGAACAGCGCTGATGAAGAAGGGATGGAGATCGAGCAGAAGAAAAAGCTACCGAAGCATTATGCCAACCAGGTGCTTAAAGACACATAGACAGATATAGTTGTTTAAAAAAAGATTTTTAAAGTTACAGTAGCTAAAAAATGCCTTTTAACAAATTCTAAGTGCTTCTTACGTAATAATATGTGACCCTGGACCACAAAACCAGTCATAAGGGTCAATTTTTCGAAATTGAGATTTATACATCATCTGAAACCTTGGTTTGTTAGGATAGGACAATATTTGGCCGAGATACAACTATTTGAAAATCTGGAATCTGACGGTGCAAAAAAATCTAAATATTGAGAAAATCATCTTGTAATTGGTGATTTCTTTCAGACTTTTCCACACTGATGCTGAGTCATTAAGATACTATTAATAACTTGTATGAGTATAAATTACTTATGTAAATATTTTATAATAAAAATACTACAAAAGTGATGCATTATAATGCTGTCTGTGAACATAATTAAGTCTTTTAAAAGAAAAGTTGTACATTTTATGTTTCTGTTATATTTCTGTTCTCCAGCTGATGCTGTCAGAGTGGTTGGTGGACGTCCCTGCAGATCTGAGCTCTGATTGGCTGATGGTGGTTTGTCCAGTTGGAAAGCGTTCCCTCGTTGTCGCCTCCAAGGTTTGGATCTTTTTCCATCCATCATGAACATCTTGAGATCAGACATGCACTAATGTTCAAAAGTTTGGGTTTAGGAATTTTGTTTTTAAATAATTAATACTTTTATTCCGAAAGGATGCATTAAATTGATCACAGTAAAATAATTTATAATGTTAAAAGATTAAATTTCAAATAAATGCTGTTCTTTCCTGAATTAAACGTTTCACAGTTTTCCATAAATATATTGATTAGCACAACCATTTTCAACACTGATAATAATCAGAAATGTTTCTAGAACCGCAAATCTGCATATTAGAATGATTTCTCTGAAGGATCATGTGACACTGAAGACGGGAGTAATGATGCTAAAAATTCAGCTTTGCGTCACAGGAATAAATTACATTTTAAAATACAAAATTATTTAAACTGTAAAAACATTACATTTTTACTGTATTTTTGATCAAATAAATTTAGCCTTTGTGAGCATGAGACAACATATTTTTCTTAAATATACACATGCATGTGTGTGTATTTATCTATACATAACAAATATACACAGTGCACACACATATTATGTAAACAAAAACTTTTATTTTGGATGCGATTAATTGCGATTAATTGTTTGACAGCACTAAATAATTATGGTATTACTTTTTTTCCTATTTAAAGCTGCAGAAACTTTATATTTTAGACTTTTAGGGACTTTTTTAATTTACACACATGCTCCTAAATACATTTTATAGTTCGCACATCTGTTTTTGGTTGCATATGCGAGTGAGACTCTCGTACTGTTGAGTCCTGGCATACAGTAGATGAACTCACACTGTGTTCCTCTCTTCTAGGTGGACGGGCTTCTTTTCTACCACAAGGAGACCCACTACACCCCTGGCAGCACGCCGTTGGTCGGCTGGCTCAGACCCTATATGGTGGTAGATATCTTGGGCATCGAGGTGCCACAGTGTCCCCTCACCATCAAGCCTGATTATGCCAGCCATCAGCTTCAGCAGATCCTGGAGCACAAGAAAACCTCTACAGAAGTTCGTCCGGCCGACCAAAACGGCCGATATGAACTGGAACACCTGTCCACGCCAGAGACACAGCTGGAGAAGTCTCACAGTGTTCAGAAAGAGAGCATGGACGTCTGAGGACTTCTGCATGAACCGTTTTAGAGAGCACTTTTCTCAAGTCTCTGCATGACCACGAAGATGATCACATTTCAGGAGAACGCTGATGTCAATGAGTTTTTAATTGCTATATTTAAAATTGCAATTCAGTTCTAGGTAACTCCGATGGAACTATTTCTGCAACCGTAATCGCAAAAATGAAACTATTCTGCTTTTGTGCAGATATTATTTTAGGAAACATATAGGTTTAATGATAGTAGACCCTCATGCTCTGCTGTATTCACATACTCTGTTTAGTCACGCCTCTTCATTGGATTTTATATATAGCTTTTTAATTCGATCTTTTCTGTAGAAGATGAGATCATTAAGATTCAGCTGGTGAAGAAGCCTATGGATAGTTTTTTAAATTTGTGTTATGACTTCAATAAAGTTTTACTGTCTGTTTTGTTTATCCCTTTGTTTAAAATATTTTTGAATGTCTGAAATTTTCTTGCTTCTAAACCCACATTGACGAAAGTTTGGGGTCAGTACATTTTATTATTATTATTATTAATTTATTTTAAGAAATTAAAGTTTTTTTTTATGATTTTTATTTTTAATGTTTTATTTAGCAAGGATACATTAAATTGATCAAAAGTGACTGTCACAAATGTTTAAATGTCTTTTTGAACTTTCCATTCATCAAAGAATCATTTAAAAAAGTATCGGTTTCCACAAAATATTAAGCAACAGCTGTTTTGACTTTGATAATAAGAAATGTTTGTTGAGCAGCAAATCAGAATGATTTCTGAAGAATCGTGTGACACTGAAGACTGGAATATTGATGCTGAAAATTCAGCTTTATATCACAGGAATAAATTACATTTTAAAGTATATTCAAATAAAAACAGTTCTTTAAAATTATAATAATATTTCAAAATATTACTGTTTTTACTGTGTTTTTGATCGAATAAATGAAGTCTTGGTGAGCATAAGAGACTTCTTTCAAAAACTTTAAAAAATCATTCCGACCACAAGCGTCTGAACAGTATAGTATATATTATACAATTATTAGAAAATAATAATATAATTAGTTATATAAGTGATAATATATTTAATAGATAAAATATTGTTTGATATATACAGACAGACATGTATAAAACAATAACGAGGGTTTTTTTAACTACTAAATGTCTCAGCAACATTGTAACAGCACTGAGTTTTTAGCTTTGCCAAGGAAAGGCTGGCATCATCAAAATCTCTTCTGGTTGAATGTCAAACACCTCAAACACAGATGTGCAGGCGGTTATAGTGAGGCTGCTTTCGTTGATTTGAAACCACTAGGTCACTTAGTTCAGCAGAAAACCATAATCGTGTAATCGGAGAGTTTGGTTATTAGTCACTCAGTAGCTGCTTTCCAGGAACTGGCAGCACCTGTCAGCCCAGATCAGACTTCCCGGATCACTCATGACCGACATTGAGTAAGACCTGTCAATCAATAAAGTACGTCAACAGCCTAGGCCTACTCAAAACATAAATTGTGCCAAAAATGCTCTCTAGTTTTTGAGACGTGTATGATTTGCAGCTTCTCAAATCCTGTTTTGCCTGACTTCAAGATGTTTTTGTGTGTATAGTTTAGTTTGGGGCTCACTGTGAGTGTGAATTTCCTCTCTGAAAGTGAAAGCACTTGTGTGCATTTTTCCAGCATGATGTCATGCATGCTCTCCTGTCAGTCATTCTAGCCCAGTGGAAAGCCGCCCACTGGAAGCTCTTTGTTGTTTTATCAGCTCAGCTTCTTGGCAGATTTTCTTGCGTCAGGTTTAAACAGTAAAAAGTTTACACCCTTGCACCCAGAATGATATCTGTACAGAATGGAAACTTTCAGTTAAAAATACTGACATTAATATTGCTGTGATCTATATTTAGCTGTAGTTTAAGAACAAAATTGACCTAAAAAATAAGCTAAATGTTTTATATTTTGCAGGTCCCTAATATATCTATGTATATATGCACATTTTACTAAACAACAATGTAGTTAAATATTTTATTCTAAATATATATCTTATTTTGAACTGTTGTTCTATAAGTACAAAAATAGAATGGGGGGTTTATGTAAATCTAAATATATTTTTAAATCTTTAAAATATTTGATAGAGAAAAAGGACAACAAAAAAAGAGCGCCAACCAAGCATCCCACAGGTGGGACGGTGACAGTTAAGGGGTTTTAACTTAGAAAACTTACTTTTAGTTAGTTATGAAAACATTAGAATATGTCATCATTTACATAACTAAATAAGTGTGTGTGTGTGTGTGTACTTGTTTATGCTACATTACATTGTACATACAAGGATAGTAAAACCTGAAATTTTTGACATTGTGGAGGGGAACAAATCATTAAAGATAGTAAATGATGTTTACCTGAAAGTGTAACAATGCAAACAGGTTTTCTGTAAGGGGTAGGTTTAGGGTTAGGGGATAGAAAATATAATTTGGTCAGTATAAAAGTAATAGAAGTCTATGGAAAGTCCCCACAATTCACAGAAACAAACGTACGTGTGTGTGTGTGTGTGTGTGTGTGTGTGTGTGTGTGAACGAAGTCCGATTCGCAAATGAATCATTCTTAAATATTTGAAATCATCATGATTTGGAAACATATCAAATCATATCAAGTTATATGATATGATATGCAATAATATGCAAGTGCTTGTCATAGCACTTGCATATTATTGCTCTTTTGTTGGTTTTGATTGCTTCTATTGTCATCATTTGTAAGTCGCTTTGGATAAAAGCGTCTGTTAAATGACTAAATGTAAATGTAAAACTAAATATGTATTTCACTAGACAAATAACACGTACAGGAACTCCTCTAAATACTTAAAACATAAATTTAAAAAAAATACAAAAAAAGAATCCGTTTTTGAACAAGTTCACTGAAAGGAGCCGTCCGAACGAACCGATTCGCTCCAATGACTCGGACTCCTCTAGGTTTTTATGAATGGAGAGGAGGAGCGTCGTTCAGTTTGCAGTTCTCCATTGTGGCCAGCAGAGGAAGCGTCATCTTTCATCTTTCACTGCTGCTGCTTTTCAGGAGCGTCTGATCTTCACTCGCCCTCTCGCGTTAAAGCGTCTAAAAGCTCCCGGATGACGCGGAGCCGATCGTTTAATATAATATCATACCTTCAAACAAACGAACCGGCCTTCGACGAGTTTCGACGGAGCACCGTGATGAATTTCTCCCTTCGTCACACAGGCGAGCGGACCGAAGCTCCGCTGGAGCACCATTAGTGTATGTGTGTAAAAAAAAAAAATTTATATATATATAAATGTGGATCCAACCGAATCGGGACCGGATCATGAACGCGCCGTGCTGAAGTGGCGGACCTCTCGAGCGGAAAACGGCGCGAGTCTCGCGCTGCTGCTGCTGTTAGCCTGATCGCTGCTAACGGGCCTAAAAAGCCCGGTCTGATCTCTACAGTCCGATCTAAACAGCTGTGTGAGCTTTAATAAGATCCTCCAGCGGGAGAGCAGAGGATGGCCAGCCGCCTGAGCGCCGAGGAGGAGCAGGTATGAAATACCGTCACAATCCGGTTAACGCTGATTCTCTGTTCCAGCGGTTCTGTTGCTAAGCAACCCCGGGACACTGTCCGGTTGACTAGAACAACTTTACAGTGGTTTACCGTGGTAATCTTAGTTCAGACCAAAGTACCTTGTTATTAGAGTTATGGGTACGGTTTTTATTGAATTAAAGGCAGTTCGACAAAAATAGGAAATAAAAATATGAAAAACATCAGGTAAAAATAGTAAACCTTTAAAATTAATACTTGTTAGATTACAAAAAAGTAAACATGAAAACAGTTTTTCAAACTGTATGTAACTATTTTAATAAATCATAAATAATATATTATAAACAGTATTGTAACTTTGTTTAACATTATAAAAACATTTAATTAGTGCTTTCAAACGATTAATCGCGATTAATCGCATCCCAAATAAATGTTTTTGTTTACGAAATATATGTGTGTGTACTGTATTTATTTAGTATGTAGCTTATATATAAATACACACACATACAGTATATGTTTTGAAAATGCAGGCATGTTCATAACACTAAATGAGAAATTGAGGACAAATCTCATTGGTTAACCAGTATTTCCCACAACTCAAAATTGATACGGGGCAAACTTACCCACAACATAAGGGTTAAACATGCAAGAAGCTTCTAGAATCGTTCTTATTTTGTTTCAGAATCAGAATTGTTTTAACTTTAAAGGATTAGTTCATCTACAAATGCAAAAGTTCATCATATACCCACCCCAGTGTCGTTCCATTAATATTTTTTTAATAATATACTGTCACTTATTTCCTTTTGCTTGCATTATATGGGGACTAGAGCTTTCAAGCTTCAAAATAAATGCAAAAGCACCGTACAAGCAGTTTGTACAACTTATGTGCTTTATTTCCAAATATTCTGAAGTCATGTATTATCTCTTTTGAGGCAAGCAGACTAAATTTAAGTCGTTGTTCTTCAGATAATCAGACAGGATCATTGAATCAGTGAGTTGAACTTGAGAATCAAACAGTTCGATTCGTGAATGAATCATTTAGATTTTTGTGAACTATTTGCTATAAGTGGATTTTGTTGTTTTTAATAATTTTCCCGTACTGACTTCTAACATACAAAACTATTCCTTAATTTTTTTTTAACCAAGGAAATATTGTTTTAATTGGTAATTTCATTGGTCTATCCTCTGTCCTCAATATCACTTTCCATTCATAATGTCCCTTTCACTAACAAAAGCCACTTCTTTAATGATGTCATCCTCCAGGAAGTGACATAATTTTTTAATGAGAAAACAGCAGCATAAACTATAATGAGTATTATTATCAAAAGATTAAATAAAATCTCTGATGTTGTTTAGTATTAGATATTTTTTCTCAGTAATGAATAAAATTATAGAAATGGGTTAATGTCAGATTTTCAAAAGATAAAATATCAAAATTACTTTAGAGTTGACACCCTCAGCCTTTATACAGTGTGTGTGTGTGTATGTATATATATTATATATATGTGTATATATATTTATATATATACACACACACATTTTTTTAATTAA